TATAAAAGCCCAGGCTGCTGCACAGAGAAATAGAATAACCACAGGTGTTTCTGCTGGTCACCCAATAGTAACAGTCATGGCAATGGACAGCAAGGACTGGAAGTGACTGTCAGGTAATGAGGTAATATTAAATGAACGAGACTCCTGTGGCAAAGAAATGGTCCTGGAAATCAATAATGAGCTATGGATTTTGTACTGTGACAATGGCGTGATAACTCAGTCCTAACTAAAGGTTCCAGTTCAATTTTAACTGGGATCACTCATTTTACTGCAGAGTGGTAGGTGATTTTTTGAACATTTGCTGTTGTTTACTATATTAAATTACAAAACTGAGCGGTTTAATTGCATGTATCAAACTGCTGCTGTTAAGGGTTGTATCACAGAAAAAGCTGACAGATTGATAATTAATGACAGTGAAGCACAACAATAGGATCAACAAAAGTGAATTAACATGAGTTGATTTCTGTGTGAAAGAGAAAATTACACTGTAATTTAGGGTACTTCAAACTGGCACTTAAAACACAGAGAATTGTTTGGTCTTGACTGTAATGTAACTACTTCTTTTGAGAGTGGAAAGGAGAAAATTTACATGGCTGTTGTCTGTTTTAATGAGGCTTGCATCATTTTCTTGTTCAAGCTCTTAGGCTTGTATATCTTTTCAGTTCAAAGACAGCTCACTTGACAGCTCAAGTGTTGAATAAGTTTTCCACAAACTAACTTTGATAACCAGAATTTTTCCTGAATCCAGAAGGTGTTCCTGCTGTACTGCCATCCTGCAAGTCCTCTCTTCAGATCAATGAAATCAAGTGTCAGCTGCAAAGTCACGCATCTGCTTACTGGATGCTTGCTGCTGCCATTATACAAGAGTTACCTACCAACTAATTTCCAGATTGTACTGATCATTCTGTTCCATAAAACTGAACAAAGAGGGTCAAGAAACTGGGATAGTAGAGTAGGTACTCTGTTTATCAGACTGACAAAATTAGCAGAGAATATAAAGATATACTTAAAAATACATTCAATCTTTATGCAAATCACTATGCAGCTTCAAAAATTTATGTACAAGACACATAATATTTGTGCAGATGCAATCTGCTCCAGGTGTTGAAAGAAAGTTTGGATTTGTTCCTTATTCATGCATATAAATGGTTTCATAAACTGTATGCAGTCCTTAAGCAACAAATTTTCTTCAAGGTATTAACAAAAGATGATCAGATGTGATCTGAAACATATCTAACTTTTTTAATAAGTTGCAGCATGTCAGAAAAGCACAGTCCTTTTTTGTGCACAATGTCATTCTGACTTTGAAAATCACCAAATGAAACAGACCAATTTTGCCATCTGGAAATTAGACTTCCCATCAAAATCTACTTTACATTGATTAAGGTATTCACCATTATATTTGAGCACCTTTTACAGTTCTGCCCATGAAGGAAAAAAATCCAATAGCACTTTGACAAGATATTTTAAAGGATTTATTGTAGTAAATTAATCTAGCTAATCCAGTATCCTACTCCTAGCAGTGGCTAGGGCTTCAAAATATAACTTCTGATTTGTACCTGCTCAGACAGTGAGTGTTATTTCTCAGCTTCATGGAGATCTGTCACCTGCCTTTTAAAACAGTCTTGCCATGTTATACTCAGATGCCAAAGTTATCTTGTCTATTCTTCTAGAATTTAATAGTTTTCATTATTTATTCCCTTTCCATGTCAATCTAAAGGAGCAGCTGCTCACTGTTACACAACAAATGAAACAAGAAGTAGTTATCTTGTTAACTGATTATATCAACTCTGTGTTAATATGCAATTTGATTAATAACTCTCTGCATTAAATCCTCTAAAGGCAAGGAAAATGTTCACTAGAGTGTTGATTGAATATTGCAACAGATGACTCCTGTAAGGAGTGTTTGGTGCTAATTGCAGAGTCATGGAACTACCAGACTTAAGTACAACATAAAGTTAGGCAGACCTGAGTGACAAAAAGAAGTCTGTCAAAAATAGAGAAACTTTCTGCAAAAGCAAGGGATGGAATTCTGTCTCTTTTTCAGAATAAAGAATAAAAACTAACATCATCATTCAGTTTATTGCAACAAAATTTCTATCACATTTTTCCTTTTGGAAGAATTAAATTCATTTTATAACTGTTAAAGATGACATGCAGTGCTATTGGTTAGATAAGTTTTAGCAGCAGAACTTTTTAATGCCTTATGCTATACAGATGGTAAAGAAAAGAATTTTAAAATGGTGAAGAAAAGTATATTGTACAGATCATTCTACTGGAAATTCTAAAAATTAACCAAATCCAGTAATATTCAGCTTTTTACATGACAAAATAGAAATACCTGAATGATGAAGTAGTCCTGTGGTATGTTGCCCTCATAAGGAAGGATGTGAATTGAGTTCTCACCTGGTTTGAGTCTAGGCTTATTTGGAGGCAGAGGGGGTTTTATTGATTTTTTTCCTTTGTTAAATGATTTAATACATATACAAACACATATATTCTGTATGTAAGCATCTGCATTTGCATTCTATTTAACGACAGTTAAATATATACTTGTTTGCTTTTTACTGCTCCTTCCATTATTCTCAAACCACAACTGAAAGCAAGCCCACTTCATTATCCAGAATTAGCATGTCCCCAGACAGGTAGTCTTGCTACCTATGAATAACTTTTAAATAATTAAACAAGATAAAATGAACCAGCCTGGAGCAAGCTGCAGACAAGGTCCTCAGCTCCATCACAACCTAATGAGAAAAATGTACTGAGAGCAGTCTTAGGCTAGTGGTAGTGGCGTATGTCTGACTGCCGAGCCTCAGGAATGCCAATATGGGCCTATGTAACGAATATGTATTCCTTGCTGCATTCCAAGCAGCCTCATTGGCAAGGATTAAGGAATACTTAGATCTTGAGAGACTTTTCCTATTATAAACTCTATAATAATCTTGAGCAATATCTTATTACATACAGATACTACTGAAATGATCAATATGAAACAACTTCAACTGGTTTTGAAGAAGTAGCCAAGAACAGACTTGCTTCTTTCTGCTTCAGTGACTAGTAAAGACTTATGCTGGGTTTTGGAGAAAAATATTCTGAGATTTCAGAAGGGGCAGCTGATAAAATGTCTCAGTTTCCTAAAGGACAAAGGAGATGGTTTTGCTTGAGCCCATTTATTTTCTCCCAAAGAAAACAGTTTAGGAATTCTTTGTGGGCCATTAAGAGTGTCCAAGATACCTAGAACCCTAAACAATAGTCATGATGGCATGCCACAATACTGCAGCCACTAATTCCTTTTAAAAAGGGGTAGTGTATAATTCCATCTTATTGATTGCAGTCTACAGCAATCTGCCCTTCTTTCTGCTGTATCTTGTTGCCTACCTCTTACAAAGCAATCTGACCCTAGAGAGGGGTGGGACCCAACATAGATAATAAAGCTGTGCAGGGTGACTACACTGATGCCAAAGAACATGGTGCTTCAGTCACTGGACACTGTTGAGAAAGAGTCTTTGATCTTTCTGCCTGAAAGGCACAAGCAGGGTTGAGGATGCCTGAGGGCTCTCTGGTGAGATGAGGCGTGTGCAAGGTTGCATGCACAGAGCTGTTTGCTCAGTGAGGGAGTGCGGTCATTCTTGTGTCACATAAATTGTGGTGCACACAGCACCACGTCATGCTAACTGCTGCTTATATTTCACTGAACCATGGGCAAAGAAAGGATGCTCAGAGGAAAGAATTTTTCTTTCTGAGATATTTAGAAGCACACAGTTTCTGCTAGTCTCTGAAAGGTCAACTAGAACTTGCATAGTATTCCTAATTTTCGTGTTTTCAGCTCAATCTCCAAAATTACTGCTGTAGTTCTACTTTCAGATGAAATACAGACAGAGCTCCCAAAGGATAGCCCTCATGCCATTTTCAGCCTGCATTCCTCACCCACAATGGTGTTTTGTAGTTGTAGTGTGGTATTTACCTGAGGTGCTGTGTCTCAGGTGAAGGCCTTCATACAGTCACTAGCATTATTGTCCCTTCTTTCAATGGCATTCTAAGTAGGAACAGCCTCCCATGAAAAACTTCCAGGATCACTGAAGTGAAAACACACTGTTGAAGAGGCAATACATGCAGTCATAGCAACCAGTCAGCTTATGGTCAGTTCACAAATGTTAAAAGCAAAGTATGAATTTAATATATTGGAAATCGGTTTTGATTCCTTTGGACCTGGGTGAGTTGTATTACTGAGTTTCTCCACTGCGTGCCTTGAAGCTCTGTATTAGCATCAGTACTGCTCTTAAAAATCTAATGCTCGCTTCAAAGTTTCCAGTTCAGATCTAAAATAGAAAGAAAAGAAGGCACCAATATCCTCCACAGTTATTCTCTTTGTATGGAAAAATATAATAGCTCCCATTACACTGTTCTTCGTGAAGGTGAATAGACCTTTTAACAGGGTGGATTGTGTTTTTGCAAGCTGAAGTGGATATGTACTGGTGGCTTTGCTGCAGAGCCCTCCAACAGAGAAGAGAAACAAAGGATTTATTCTCATTCTCCCTGATCAAAGTTTGAAGTGGAGCCTCATCCCCATTTTTGCACACATCAAATAAACTAGACAGGTAGTACTGCAGCCTGCTTGTGGTCAGTAATTTTCATGTGTCAGGTGCCTTTATATAATCCCTGTCAGTTCAGTTCATCTAAGTCACAATTTGTATTACTACCTACTGTGCCAATTGCATACTCTTAGATACTTGTATTAGCATTCTTCAGTCCCAGTCTAAAGTATCCCACTGTTCCTGTTGCAAAGCTTAGACAGAAAGGTGCCAAACAGTGTGGCATTCACTTAATGAGATTGCAGTTCTTGACTTGAATTGAACAGTGTGGAGTCTTAAGAAGGAAAAGAGCTTGTATTATTCTCTTAGAACACGTGTGTATATGCATCTGTATGTGTGCACACAGACTTATATTACAACTCATAATAATTCCATGCCACTAATCTGCTTGCCTGTTCTTTCCTATAGCCCAGATGATTTACTGAACGCACTGAATGAGGGTATCAGCCGTGCTGATGTGATCATTACATCAGGAGGTGTATCCATGGGGGAAAAGGTATGCAAAATTTAAGTTTGACTTCCTACAATAAATGTAAGAATTTCAAACCAGAGTCTGTCATCCAAGCTACTGCCTTTGTATTAAGGTTTATTAAAAAGGGACCTTACTTCTATTGGAACACTTACATGTGAATTACTTAAGAAAATAGTCTTCAAAGCTCATTCCCTTTGTTCTTGTTTTTCTACTATAGTTGATATAGTGCAACAGAGAAGCTTTTAATTCTAGATGTGAGTGATTTACAAATGTGTTTTTATTTAAGGAATGATTTATGTAGATGAGGAAGGTACTGAGGTAGGTTAATAGTAAATGAAAACAACAGACTTCTTTTTATTTTTAGAGCAGGTAAAATGTAGATAGAATTAAGGTACTTTGAAAGTACTTTGAAAAGCAACCTGAGTATATAAATAGCATTTTTTTACTCAGCACATTTGTTTCCTGAATGTGCCAAAGCTCTATCTGTTACAAAAATAGTTTTATCACGTTTTGCTCCTGATAGTCCTACAGACAATACATATGAGACCCAGTGAGCTGATATATTTGCCTTTTGAATCATTAACAGAATTGTTGATTGAGTTCCTGTTGATTATCCCTGTGCCAAAACCATCAAAGAAAATAGGGATACACAGATGCTGGTGGGGCATAGATGAACCTGCAGGACATTTATTAATCATGACTTATGCGAAGGAAAACTCAAATTACTTTTTGATCCCAGGCTGAATCTGTGAGTTTGGCAGGTAAAATAAACATCTTTTATAACTAACAGATACTAAAGACGGTCATTAGGAGGTGGGAAACATGAGTGCTGGTTTTGTTTACCTTTCTGAGTAGAAATCATATCTTTGGATACATAATGAAAATGGATAATTAATTAAACCAGTGCAAATAACTTTCAATTACTCCCATTGTCTCCAGTATACCTAGAAAAATAATCAAGGACAAGTACTAATCTTTAAATTGAGAATGTGACAACATAGTGCAGACACAGTATCACTGAGAAGCGGCTGGGCTGCTGGATGGTCTTACAGACATTCAGACCTTCGGCTCATTTCTCCCCAGCCTGAATTTGAGGCAACACCCTAAAGTCAATAGGCTCTACATTCCACTGATGGTCTGCCCTCTGATACTGAGCTTTCTACAGCTTTAATGAAATAGCTGTGAACATCCAAGTATCAAACGGAAAGTAAAAGAGGGATTAATGCAATTAATAATTGAGAGTTAATGCCTGGCTGAAATGAGTTGCTGCTTTCCAAGTATTTGAACCCACACATGCAACAAAAAAAAAAAGGGCCAACTGCCAGGGAGTTTCAGATTTACTGCTTTCAAAGTCTGTCTTCACAGATGATTGTTGTGGCCCGTGTCTTTAGCCTCACTAAACACAACAGATAGGGTACTACATCTTCAGGCACAGCAATCGTCAGTAATTGTTTAAACAATTCCATTTGTTTTAATAACTGGATCAATCATGTTTATGCAAAATCATTTAACTTGAACTCATTCACGAGCCCCTCAAAGTTTTTTTTCTTTCTAAGGAATGCTAAACCCAACCACTGTGAATTAGACCATTAGATTCAAGATATTGCAATAATGACAGTATCCTGGAAAACTATGATTTCTACAGTACAGTGTTGCATTCCAAAGTAGTAGGAGATCTCTGAATCTACAACTAGATCACTTCCATGGCAAAATTTAAGTAACTTGATTATTTAAAGTCTTAACTTTGAATTGTAAAGGTTGTTTTCCACCTTTGACATAGAGAATGTTTTAGTAGTAGGTATTTGTGGGGTGCTCTAAGATTCTGATGCTGCAGATGCATTTTAAGGAAATATATGTCCTCATGGAGTCAGGTTTGGCACCTAAATGAGCCTGATCTTTACTTCTTTTCCAAAACACTTTCTTTCAAATACTGGAAATTCCCCACTGGGCTGTAGCACTTTCAGGATATGCAAATTTTCATCTTCTCTTGATATTAATTAATTGCTTCGAATGCTTAGATGATGTAAAGCCACTTTGATGTTACTTAATTTTTTTTTATTTTTTTTTTAATTAAACAGGACTATCTTAAACAGGTGCTGGATATTGATCTTCACGCACAGATTCACTTTGGCAGAGTTTTTATGAAACCTGGGTAAGAAATCTTTCTGCTTAGGCAGCCTCGATGGAGGCTACATTGGGCCAAATATCCTAGTGAAGTGCTTCAGTAGATTCACTTTTCCAAATATACTATAAACCACAAGATAGATATATGTGGGAAAAGCAGCAAAATCAATGCTCTTCAGATTAGTCATCATCTTTAGGGGTGAAATTAACTGGAACAGAGAGATTATTTTTTATCAGTAAGAGATATTTCTCTGGTAACTGTTGCAAATTAGGTTTGGGGACTGGTGGGAAACCAGCATGGTATAAAACATTGCCACAGCCTTCAGTGTGATCACAGACCTCACATTAACATTACCATGAAATAACCAGGAAATATAAGGACATTAAATGGACAGTTTGCTTAAAGAGTATCTCATTTCACTTCAAAATTTGCATAAATTATATTCCTACAAGCTGTTCCTTGAGAGAGGTGGAATGACAGCTAATTTACAAAGCTTTGTCTAATTGGCATATTGAGCATAGTAATTTTAAAGTAAGCAGAGTCCTTTATGTGTTTAGTTTGCCTCAGAAAACTGTTTCAGCATTGCTTTTCTACACTGTGATGCTGCTCATCAGTGAGTCTGCAAGTGTTTAGTTTGCCTCAGAAAACTGTTTCAGCATTGCTTTTCTACACTGTGATGCTGCTCATCAGTGAGTCTGCAAGTGTGCTCTGTAGAGAGAATGAAAATCACACATGTTGAAAACTGAGAGCTCCCTTTTCGACACAGTACAGGAACAGAAAGATGTCTCCACTTCTGCCTCTCTCCCTGTGGAGGGCATTTGGTTTGCAAGCTGGGTCAGAATGGTGCAGCTACACAAGATCAAGCACAGCTTTGCAGAATGATTCCTTCTAGCCCAGAACTGCTGTCACAGAGCAGAGCTGCAAGTGGGTGTTTGCTGTGAAAACAGACAAATACTTTTACTGTCTCTGCATACAGTCTGGTAAAGAACTGCGTGTGGGCTTAGTGCTTGTGCTGCTCCTACCACCACCTCCTTTCCACAAAAGGAATGAGTGAGCTAAAAGCTTGTTTTTTTTCCCGTGGTGGATGTAGCCCAGGCATGGAAATTGCTCACTGCTTCTGTCATACTGCTACAACTGATGTGGGGAAGTCCCAGAAGCAGAATCTGCACTGCTGACAAGGGATAACTTGATTTAGAGAATTCAGAGTATTAAATTCTGGTTCTGGCTTACTTGTAAGCAAACATAATTTTTTCTTCTGGTGAGTCCTCTGTAGGCCTACATCAATAAACTTTTAATAACTATCTGGAAAAATTTCAAGAAATGGGTTTTTTCCCTAAATGTCCCTTTTCATTTTATACCACAAGAAAGGTATTTCTTATTGCTGCCAAAACATTTGCTCATCTGTTCTTACTGAGAATGTAAGCACTCTCTTTTTCATTAGCTGTAGTGCAATAGCAAATATTGTATCTTGGGTTTTATTAACTGCTTCTTAAAAGATTGTAGATTGTGCTTACTATATTGGGAAAAAATCCCTTGAGTAAGTTCCAAGAGTGAAGTCAGAATTTTTTGTATGCCTGTATTTGATGTGCTTCATGAGTGCAGGGTAGTGCCTGGGATTTAGCATCCCTCCACTTGGTCTGAAAGTTGCTGAGCTCGTGTAAGGTTATCTTGTCTAGCCACACTGAGAGAAGAAAGTACTGGAAGATTCTGACAATGATGGTGTTGAAATGTCATACAAGAATTCAGAGCTTCCAGTAGATAGGAATTAACAATTAAATTTTTTGTCCGTTGGTTTGTGCACTGGTTATAACAGCTGAAGTTCTGGCACATAGTTCCCATCATGTTAGAGCCATTTTAAAACAGGAATGTCAAACACTAACTTCTCCTGGTAAAATAGGATATTGATGAGTCACTACAGATACAAAACTAGGTGATAATGATCAAAGTGCAGCAAATCTCCAGTTGTAAACTATCACCTGCTGACCAGGTGCTAGTAATCAGGTCAACATGAAGCCAAGGAAACCAGCCTAATTATTGCTCCTGTAAGGTATAATTTCTGATGTTTGAGAGGATTATATTAACATACAATTCTCTTTTCATGAATGAATCCCTTTTCTTTGCCAGCCACATTCTTGAGCTGTCACATTACCATCCTATTTGTGTAACAGTAATAGCCCTCACAGCAAGTCACCAAGGATCACTCAGCAGCTCTGAAAGTCAGAGAGAGCTCTTCATTGATAGACCAGGGAGTCACTTGGCTGCAGCTCTGCTGTGTATCTGAACTTGTTCATCTGCAGACTAGCTAGCATTTGCTGCTCAGAAGTACTGCTCTCTTGCCAGTACTGCTGTAGAGACTGGAGTAAGAGAATTAGAGTCACCAATGTTGTAAAAAATTGTAAAAAAACCCTTACATGAAAAACAAACACAGCTCTGTAATTGCATCATTCCAGTATTACTTCATTGTTAATTGGCTTCTAGCATGAAGATTTAGATTTTTGATTACTAGTTTGTTTCCTTTTAGCTATTTCCTCTCCAAATTTGTGTACTTAAAACTTCAGAATTGAATATCAAGAAAAATTATTCTGTCACCACAAAGAGAGGATTATACCTCCAGTATGGAATAAGCAGCAGGTGCTGATGAACTGCTGAGACAGATGTCCTGTTTTGTTTCCTTTTCTTTTCCAAATGTTTTAAATAATACAATAATGTTCAGTCAAATTTTAATGCAGATATTAAATAACTTTCTTTTTCCACAGCCTGCCAACAACTTTTGCAACTCTGGATATTGACGGCGTAAGAAAAATAATCTTTGCGCTCCCAGGTAAGACGTTTTGTGGATTACTTTTGTTGCTGTGTATAGATGACAGACATGAAACAGAATAGTGACACTTGACAGCATCTGTGCCTGATGTTGTCCCCTAAGGAAGGTACCTGTAAGATTTTCTCAGAAATTTCCAGAAGAGATTGACTTACAGGGATGTGCTAAGGAGTTCTTTTTGTCCCAGAATTCTCTAGTACAGGTGTTAGGATTTCTTCCATCCAACAATTTGCTTACGTTTTTCACAGGGGTGTTTTTCCCTACAGCTCCCTGCACCTTCACCATAAATGTCCTGTGGGTGCAAGTCAGTGCATTCACTCTGATATGCTGAAAATTGAGAAAAAAATGAGGGAGTGCCAAGGAATATTTCATGGAATATTTTTGTTTATCACGCTCATGCTGTGGAACCAAAAGAGGGCAGCATGGCTGCACCACTGCTGACTGTGCCCTGGGAAAGCACTTGTTTAGAATAAAGATTTTCTTATGGATTTCTGTCCTTCTAAATGAGGAAGAATTTATTTTATTCTTACTGCTCTGTCTTTCCATGAATTTTGACTACACAAGGAATCCTTTTCTTGATAAGCTGGTGGTTTTCAGATGTATCTCTAGTGCTTCTACCCTCTCTTGCTTTAGTTGCTGTTGTACATTTTCTTACAGGGGAGAGATCAGTGAATCATCCATCTGATCATAGTATTTCTTCTAAAACTGTTGTCTAGGGAAATCCAGACCTGTAAGACAGTGGTGTCTGACAGGTGGTCATACACCTCTCATGTGAATCATCAGAAAACATATAAATCAGTAGGATTCTCCTCAGAATTTGTACTAAAGCATTTTGCCACTCTGTTAGGGAGTTGAAAGTTATTTTTCTCTTGATGTCTGGGAACCATTAGTCATGACTAAAGAGCCCTGTGAGGGTAGAGCCAATAACTATGCACAATTAACTCTGCTCCAGCCTCAGACAAATGTAGGCATAGGACAAAGGTAGTGGAAGAACAGAGGAAAATGGTGAGGCCTGACGAACATGGGGCAATTCGGGCTGGAGCAGGACCTCAGCACACATCATCCAGAGTGTAGCTTTCAACAGGTGTGATTGCCACATGCCCCTTGCCACACGCCACTGCAGTCTGTACTGTATGCAGTACATAGCATGGAAAGCTCTGAAGAGTCCTTTAAAATGAAATTGCTATACAAACATAAGTTCACTTTCAGCATTCCAGAGTAAACCAAGAAGGCATCAGCCCCAACTGTTCTTTGTCCTACAGGCAATCCTGTGTCAGCTGTTGTCACCTGCAATCTCTTTGTTGTTCCTGCACTGAGGAAAATGCAAGGTATCTTGGATCCTCGGCCCACCATCATCAAAGCCAGGGTAAGAAGCTTGTCCTCTACTTCAAAATTCTCTCAAGACGCTGAAGCACAGCTCTTTGAGCTCTGAAAGACTGTTGTGTTTGTGGAATCTTAGCCCTAGATTAGTTCTGGCAATGGAAGGACTTTCACACAAATAGAGGTACATTCTCAGTCTCTGTTAATGGTAATATTCAGTCCCATAATTTTTTAGAGTTAGATGGCCATCTAATGGAGCAAGATATACGGATGCAGAGGCAGCCATTTGCCAGTCAGGCAGGAAGGACACTCTCCTGTTTAAAAAAGACATTTGTTTTAGGCAGAGTAATCTGCAAAAATCTAGAGTTGGATAGTTCTGTATTAGCAATAGAAAATACAAACTTTAAAGCCCTTTTGTTATCTATATAAGAAAACCACAAGACCTAAGCAATATAAATTCCTTAAACTCTTCTCACTTTTCTAATAAATCATGGATAGTGTAACTCTATTTAATATAGATTCAAGGCATGTTATTATAATTTCTTTTTCTTCTTCTTCTTCTTCTTCTTCTTCTTCTTCTGTTTTTGATTAAAATAAAGTACCAAGGAATACATCACCTTTTTCTTAGTGTTCTTGGCTATGCACTTTTCTCTTACAGTTTATCCCATGTCTCTCTTTTGCCCTTTCTCAAGCAACCAGATTTTATCTCACAGCCAAAATATTCTAAAAGAAAGGGCAATTTGCAATGACCTTCACTTTTGCATGTATTTTCCATTATGAGCCATTCCCTGTATGTCTTTTGATTTCAAAGACTGGCCATTTTCCTTTCGTCAGAGCTAGCAGGATTTTGAATGTGAATAACATTTTTATCTTTATGCAATGTAATCCAAAGAGACCAGGCTTTTTTCTAGAGAAATACTATCTGTAAACTCTCAGTAAAGGTACAGCTTTGGAATATTCCACTTAATGCACATAGACTCCTTCAGACAGTTTGATATTGTAATATCACAGTTGTATTTCCTTAAATACTGCAGTCTCTGCCTTCTTCAGCTTTTAATCTTGCACTAGACACCATCTGACCTCAAAATGCAAGTTTTTGAAAAGACTGTTTCTAAGGAAGAACAATTGAGCAGATTATTCCATTATCTTAGACAGTGCAATGTGAATGCATGACATGTTCATCCTTTCTTTTTTAATCCTACAGTTATCATGTGATGTAAAATTGGACCCACGCCCAGAATATCATCGGTGCATTCTGACTTGGCATCACCAAGAACCACTACCTTGGGCACAGAGTACAGGTGAGTGCCAGTCACACAGACTGACAGACACTCACACACAGCCTTGCCTTCCTAAAGATGTGTCTGGGAACAACCAAGAGTGTGCACATGTTTTTTTCATAGACCCTTCTTTATGCGGACTGATTTGCTGACACACTTGTGCATGTGCATGCACTACATTAGTACAAAATTCAGTGCTGATATGGCTTGTTGGTTTAACCATTAGAACATCCTTTATTTTAATAACCTGCCTTAATACACTACACCTGTATGCTTGCATATGTGCACACATTCCTTTTTATAAACATCCACTAAGCTTATTTGCAGTCAGGCACATTTGCTTCCTTTTGCTGTTGTGCATGTACTAAACAAACATGAGTTGTGGCAGAGATAGGAGCAATACAAATAAAAGAAATGTGATTTAGCTGAACTGGGAAAGTAGCAAAGATAGCAGAGGCTCCAGATGTTCTCTTAAAGCAGACTAAGGATTTATTAGTCATGTTTGCCACCTAGGAATACTTCTGGATTCTGAGCTGCAGTTGAGGTTGTGTGAGGTTGTGTGAGGAGTGGCTGAGGGAGCTGGGGCTGTTTAGCCTGGAGGAAAGGAAGCTCAAGGGAGACCTTATCACTCTATAACCACCTGGAAGGAGGCTGTAGCCAGGTGGGGGCTGGCCTCTTCTCCCAGGCAACAAGTGACAGGACAAGAAGAAATGGACTCAAGCTGCACCACAGCAGGTTCAGGTTGGACATCAGGAAGAATTTCCTCTTGCAAGGGCTGAACATTGGAACAGGCTGCCAAGGGAAGTGGTAGAGTCACCATGAAACAACTGGACATGGCATTTAGTGCTATGGTTTAGTTGAAATGGTGGTATTCTGTCAAAGATTGGACTTAATGATCTTGGAGGTTTTTCCCAACCTAAATTATTCTGTTCAAAGAGAATAAAGTTAATCAAATTTATTCTAGACCAGGATATATAAAACATTCTAGACTGTACTGATTTTTGTGCTTGTGCAATTGGAATAGGTGTACAAATTCAAAAATAAAGTAATTTTGATAGGATTAGCAATTTACTAGGTAAAGATACACGGTACAGATAATGTGGAAGGCTGGATAGGAAAGCAATCAGCAAAGAGAGTGACGGTTTTGAGAGCCAGAGCAGTAGGAGGCTGAGTAAATCTCCACAGAGTTCTCTGCTTCTGTCCATCTTGGAACAGCAAGATCCCAGCTCCATGAGTAAGTTAGCCACATTAACATTTTCATCATAACAGCTTTTGTTTGTCGCACCGTGTTGCAGCATTTGGAACTAACTGAAGACTCAACTGAAACTGTTCTGCCTCTCTCCTGTAGGGAATCAGATGAGCAGTCGTCTGATGAGTATGCGCAGTGCCAATGGACTGTTGATGCTACCTCCAAAGACAGAGCAGTATGTGGAGCTTCACAAGGGGGAGGTGGTGGATGTCATGGTCATCGGAAGGCTATGATGTCACCAGCAAGAGCGAAGCTTTGATGCATGTCCACATATCATTGACTGTATCCTGTAATATGCAACGGCACAGCTAGTTTTTCCGATTTGGATAAAAGTTGATCAGTATAGTCAACATCTTGAAATATATTTCAAATGGAATTTAAATAAATACCTTTTAAAAAAGAAAAACAAACTTTAAAACAAATCTTAACAAAGAAATTTATTCTGATTATATCAAAGCAACTTTTTCCTTTTCTTGCAATTGCTTTGTGTGTTCAATGCTAGTTCTAATAGCGGTAGCTTTTAGTAGACAGCAGTAGGTGCCTGCAGAACTTGTGTTTTTTCTCATCTTTAAGATACAACTACTTACGCTCTTAAAACAAGGCTGTCTGCTTATTTATACTAGCGTAGACAACACTTGGATTTCCCTTATTAGTATGCTTCATAACCGCTTCACAGAGAGCTTCTGCTTGTTCTTTATCTTGTATCTCGTGTTGATGTGCACAGTGCCAAAAGCAGAGTGGCTGCACTGGGAACCCAATGAAGCCCCGAGGTTTTCTCACCTCGCCGCGCATTCAGGGATGTCTCTTGTCCCAGCAGCCACCCAGCTCAGTACTCTTGGGCAGTAACTGGATACCTTTTATTTCAACAAACAAAAAAATTGCTTCCTTAAGTGCTGACAGCCTTTTTAACCAATACATTTAAAAATGTACAGAACTAAAAACTAAAAAAAAATCAAAGACTGATCTTGTACAGATATTAGTGTTACCAGCATTCGTGTGGAAATTAAATGAGCAAAGAAATAAAACTAATGTTAAACAACTCTGTACCATAACATTTTCTGTAATGATATTGAAACTTAAATGAATAAAAAAAATCCTCAATCATTATTTAAAATTTCACCTGTTCAGCCTTGTTGTTTGAAACAAAGAAGTAGTGATTTAAGAGAGTATTTGGGGTGGGGGGAAGAGCATAGGAAGGAAAAGAAATAGGATGTTCAACCTAGGGCCTTCCCTCATGTAGTGTCATGAGTGAACTGAAACTACAGAGCTCTCTCTCACACCTCCCAAGGGACAAGACAGAAGCAGCACTTGGAGGTGGGTGGGATTGCAGTCAGACTAATCAAAGCTGGAGAATACTATTTTTTCCCCATCTAAATTGCATAGCATTTGCAAACAGCTCTTGTGCTGCACTGTCTGGAATTTGATAAAGTGTTCTTTTTCTTTTTTTTTTTGTTTTTGCTCATGAGAGACTTTTCAGCTCACACCAGATTGTGTATTTTGGTAGCTACACATTTCATCTGGGATTAAGACCATAGCAGTACCTTACAACATCTTGTTTCTTGGACTTGATGGGTAAAATGCTATCCCACCAACTCCATTTGTGAAGACAGAGCATTTATCTACAGTGTTTTTTTAAGACTTAGTCAGAGAGAACACAGAAAATTTGGTTTAAATTCTGATTGCCACAGTGGACCAGAGCTGTAGTTCTATGATAACTGCAGAGGGCATCCCTCAGGCTGGTTTTAAAACCAAACTGTTTGCTGTGAACCTCTCTGCATGGGCCATTGCAAAGGTTGAAGGCAGGTAAGCATACACTGTGTTTGGAGGCAGTGCAGGGATTAATTGTTCAGAGAAACCCTAACACAACTTGCTGATCATATTTTTTTGTTCTGGATACATGTCCACATTTGTGATCTCTCTATGTGGCAGCAGGGTGGTACCAAATTAAGTTCACGGATGCCTGTTTTGACTGTACTAATATTTTAAACCACAGAAAGAAGAGAGAGGTTAACTCATCTCTGAGAAATAAGGGAGAACACTGCATATTATAAGCCAAAGGATTGTTATAATGTAGTTAAGGGTTCTTATAGGCAGCATGTGTAATGAAAAGCAGAAGTTTATAAAGGACACCAATAACATAAAGACTCACTAGTAATCAAGTTCAATAGTTGTATTAAAGGCAGAGTCTACTCCTTGAGTACATGTATTTGATACATTTGGATATCAAACTTCATATTTCCTCTGAGGAGATAGAGGTGGGAGAGTGTGAAAATGTCAAATGAGGAGTCAGAGCCCAAGTCAGGCTACATTATCAAGCAAAAGCTAGGGCTGACATTTAATGATCCTTTTACCTGACAGGGAACTAAGAAGAGTAGATGTTGAACCGCTCAAGCACAAAATTTGCCAAAAACTTTCTTTTGCCTTAGCTGGCAAATTGAAGCTAGTTTTTAGTGTCGGGGGAAAAAAAATAATTGAAATTGTCTGTCATTTTTGCTGGCACTTTCCAAACATTTTGGGTAGAGTTGTATCCCAAATAAATTCAGGAATATATTCCCAACCTAATATTTCTTCTGTGAGGGTATTTTATACATTTCCCAAAAGTCCAGGTAAGAAACTCTTTGCTTGAATGCTTTGTATCTACAGTAATCTCCTTGATTCTAAAGCCAGCTAATGTTACTCCCATGTAAAAGGTGAAACCTAAGGACTACAGGTTAGACATGGAAGAGCATTTCTGCATATACTCAAAAAAAGCAGAGACTCCTCCAGGAGAGTCTAGTCTTGTCTAGGGAGACAATCAAAGTCACAGCTATTGATGACAAAGGGTTTGTGTGGGCAGAACAGCTGTAGCAGCTGGTGGTCATTAGAGCAGCAATCTGTAGAACAAGGTATGGCTTCCCATAGCAATATTTGGTCCATAAGTTGCAATTAAATGCCTTATCCTCATGGATGAACATGATCTCTAATAACTGTAACTCTTCATCTTCCTAGTGCCAGCTGGTCTCAAAACACAAAGCATAGCATTTTCAGCATGATGCTGTCAGCAGCTGGATTTCCATATTTAAGTGAAAAAAGTCACACTGCTGTTTCTTCTGTGTTTTCTTATGGGTTTTTTTGGTTTGGTTGTTTGCTTTCTTTTAAACTTGGTGATTGTTTTTTAGTAAATCTATCCCAGCCTCTACTCAGAGAGATGAGTTGTCATGCTGGATTTAAAGTCAGCATTGAAATGCAGGCAAATCTTGGGTAATTTGTGGGAAGAGCCTGCACATTTTGCAAATGTTACAAGCTCATGAACTGCTGCTCATGCTGCAGGTTTTCTGGAAGGGCTCAGTGACTCATATTCAGCATTCAGTTAAGACTTGCTCTGTGCATTTGTGCCATATTGCACACAAGCTGATAAAGTTACTGGAATAGAGAGCCTTCAAAAGGTGATGCACAGAGGCTCAAGCTCTCTAGTTTTAAACTGATCTGAGTCAGATGATTTGTTCCATCCCAGCACCATACAGCAATACTCACCATGCTCTGTCCCCATGCAAGGACTTCTGCATTTCCATGGACCCAATTTTAATGTTTAAGAATGCAAGCAACCAAGTAATTTTTGCAGAGTTAATTCACAAGCAAAACTGAAACCTTATTTTACACTACTGCAGATACTGTGGTATCCTTTCCTATCTAGGTCTGTCTGTTATAGCAAAGTAACCAGTGACTTAATCATTTTGAAATGTTATGCTGGTTGGACCACAAAGGGGGACCCAATTTTGGGACCATGTGCAGACCAGACAGCAGGCCAAGAAGTCAACATGGACACTTTCAAACACACCTCCCTACGCTGCCAATGTCTGGTAAAAGCAGAAGCTTCTGTGGGACTACTTAAGAAACTGCTGAGAAGAAAACAACATAATGCCATCCTTGGATAAATCATCCTTGCACTGTGTGGCCTGTGCACTTTTAGATTTTATTTTTTTTTTTCTGAATTGGCCCTGTGCAAAAAGCTTGCCAATAGTTCACACCTCCAGAGAAGTATAAATGCATGGCAATGAGATAACTATCCAGCTTCCAAATACTACCCCCACACAGTGTTTGTGGCAAAAAGTCCCACATTTTCACTGTGAAGCAGCATCTCCTCTGTTTTATTCTGAATTTGCCATCTCCTACCTCTGTTTGATGCTTCTTAGAGGGTTTTTTTGGAGCAAAGAGAAGTCACCCTCACTTTGTCACCCATAATTTTATAAATTTCTATCTTCTCAATTAAATGTCCTAATCTGTGCAGTCTGCCCTTTGTGGTCACAGACCATATCCAAGGATCTGTAAATTGGATGATCTCTATCACAGATTCATGGAACCATCAAGGTTGGAAAGGGCCTTCAAAACCATCAAGTCCAACCACAAATGCAGCACTGTCACTGCCATCCCTAAACCATATCACCCATCCCCATTGCTCCTCTTTTCACCCTCTTCAGGTTTATTATATTCTGTCAGAAACAAGGAGATCAGAACTGCATATTAAAAGGCACCACCATCTCATTCATACGAATCACATCATGATGATTTATGTTTGTTCTCTATTTCCTAATAATTTTTTTTCTTCAGTACTTCTGACTGATATGTTTTTATGGATCTTAAAAATCTCATGCTTTATTGGTAATGTTCTTATTTTCTTAAAAGAGATAACCTTAAATTCTCATGCTTTATTGGTAGTATTTAACCCAGGAACAGTAATTATAATTACAGTTCAAGAAAATAATTTCCGCATATGAGTAACTTTCCTTTTATCTGTGTTAAATTTCCTTAGTTGTTTCAACTCACTTCCACTCAAATTTGAGCAATCTGTCTGCAGTTCTTGGTCCTGGAAAATGGGTATTTTCCTGGAATTTAGCTGCCTGCAGTTCAATCTGATAATGGAGACTGCGGTGATTACCTCCACTGAGGATCTGCTCTATGTCTTGTGGGAAGACCTGCTTTGGTGGCTTGACAAATTGTATATGTTGTAATATTGGTACTTTACCTTATTATGCCTGATTTTTTTCTTGTGGTTTCTTGCCAGCTAGATTTCTTGCTGCTGCTGATAGCCTCTTCAGCTATGCTCATTTCAGGATGGTGTTGCACTGCTTTGGATTTCAGGATGGTGTCATCACTGCCAGATGACCAAGACCATCCTCATGTATTCATAGAGATGCTGCAGAGAAAAGAATTGGGCTTAATCTTTTCCTATAGCTTTCTTGTATTTGGATGAGGCTGCTGGAACAGGCTTGTTCATGGTCAAGGCTGGAGATCAATCTCCTGGGATGTGGCTCTGCAGAGCTTTGTGGCTCGGGGCATGGGCTGCACTCAAGAGAATGAGCTCGGGGAATTGGGTAGGCGAGTGAACTGGAGTCAATGCTGATGCCAGCAGGTTGGTTATGGTGTACTGTGCTGCCTGCCAGGACTTTTGTGTCAGACCGAGGTAGCTATTCATCACTGAAGATATTGAATAATGACAATAAAAATGGCCTGAGAACTATTTACCTGCCAGTCTTAAGAGGGGAGAGGCACACATGCAGATGCAATGGTACTTGAGCCTATCTAACTAAAAGATGGCTGGCATGGTACATCCATGACTGACTTTCTGTAATTTACTCCCTAATGGCCAAATCAAATCAAATTGCCCAATGTGCTATGAAAAGCCAGAGAACAGAGAAGATAGGATTTAATGTGCTCTTGGCAGTCTGCGTTGCTAAGGAGTCATGCTGCAGCTTTCTCCATTAACTGGATTTTTTTCTAAGAGGTGGTGACTAGGGTTAGATTAAAACAAAAACCAAAACCAAAGAATGCCACACACAAAAACTAACAGGGGAAAAAAACAAAACTAAAAACAAACAAAAAACAACCCCCTAACCAAAACAACAACAAAGATCAGCCAAGAAAATAGGCCTTTGTGGGATGGAAAGGGGTGGGATAAAAAGCAGACACACTAACAATCACAAAGAGGATGGTGGGTGGGCAAACCCAAATAACACCTGGCCCAAGCTTCTCCCAGGCCCATCACCAGCAGACACAGAGGAGGACACAGGTACAGGGCAGGTGGGAACCCAAGATGAGGATTTATAGGGACACCCTGGCTGAGCTCCTCCCTGGGCT